TGAGGAAAAGACCTGGGTTATATTTAGCTTGTTCTTATATTAAATAAATTACTCTAACTTCACAGCATATTTACATTGATTGTGTTACTTACTTTTTAAGAACGTTACTATTAATACAAATAATATTACAAATAACAATAATGACAATGAAAAAGCAGCAGCAGCTACATGACTTCTTTCCATGACAGCCCTGCTGCTGCTGCTGCTGCTCCTCGTCTCCAGATTGGTTGAAGCCCGGCGTCAAGCTCCAAAAGCTTTTCTCAACTTCGGCGTCAAGGGACTTTTTTTGACGACAAAAGAAAAGCAAGCATTACGCGTGTAAAGCTTCAAGTGACGCGCATAGTGCTTGCGTCTTTTGAAGCGCTTCAAGTGACGCCGGGCCTCTCAGCGTCACCTGAAGCGCTTCACCATTCATTTTCAGTGCAAACCTGACGCTTTTCAAGTCGAAGTTGAGTCCGGTGTGAAAACACCTTAAGGGAGTGCCCAACCACTCTTTCCCACCGCTTGTATCTACGATCTCGTTCTTTCGGTCATTATCCAAAGCTCATGACCAGAGGTGATGGAGGGAACAAGAATTGACCGGTAAATCAAAAGTGACCGCATCACTGCGCACGCTGCACCAATCCGCCTGTCAATCTCACGCTCCATCCTTCCGTCACTCGTGAACAAGACCCCGAGATACTTGAACTCCTCCACATGAGGAAGGACCTCTCCACTATGGCGGCACGGTGGCTGAGTGGATAGCACTCTCGCTTCTCAGCAAGAAGGTCCTGGGTTCAAATCCCAGTCGGAACAGGGCCTTACTGAGTGGAGTTTGCATGTTGTGCATAGGTTTCCTCCGGGTGCTCCGGTTTCCCCTACCACTAAAAACATGCTCAATAGGTATTAATGTAAATGAGAGAGTGAATGGATGGTGAAGATTGGGGGCTGATCAGTGGGGGCGGGTCCCAGCTCAAAAGTGGCCAAAATGATACGCTGACATGCTGCAATACCACCCCGGGCCGATGGGGGTGGACCTGGAATAAGAATTAGCCAATGTATAGCATCTTCTTACCTCTCGAAAACGTCTTTACAGGATGGTCCAAAAGTTGGCTCTTGGCCCAAAGCTCCGTTCCACATGTGTGTCAATGCTGAGGGGGAAGAATTTTTTTGGACCACTCTACTTTACTCTCTGTGAATTTTTGAAGTCTCTCGTTCAAATGAATGGAGCTTGCGTCGGCTGACGCATGTGCAAATGCGTTTTTTTGCGCTATATACATATTTTTTTAATATAAATGCGCTATTTAAATAATCATTACTTACTTATCCACCTGGAGAGGGCAAGGCACCTTTTTCCGGTCAGGCATCATGGCCTCGGATTTGGAGGTGCTGATTCTCATCCCAGCCGCTTCACACTCGGCTGCAAACCGCCCCAGTGCATGTTGCAGGTCCTGGTTCCTTGGAGCCAACAGGACAAAATCGTCGGCAAACAGCAGAGATGAAATCCTGTGGTCTCCGAACCGGACCCCTCCGGCCCCTGGCTGCACCTAGAAATTCTGTCCATTATGACAGTGAACAGAAGCGGTGACAAAGGGCAGCCTGCGCCTGCCGGCAATGCAAATACAGCTCTGGTAGAGGACAATAATGAGGTCATGAATCCAGTGAAATTAGTCGCACACCTTTTTACAGTAAAAAGTTACAGTAGATCAAAAGTGACATGTTTTGACCATTCTTTGGCTACTTTGGACCAAAATGGCTACTTTAACTCCATATTTCTCCAAATTTTCACAGTAAAAGTTTCTAGTCTTTGGCACAGTGGTAGAACATAATAATGAGGTCATGAATCCATTGAAATGAGTCACACACCTTTTTACAGTAAAAAGTTACAGTAGATCAAAAGCGGGATTTTTTTTTTACAGTTTTGTGTATTTTGCACTAAAAAGTGTACTTTGTCTCAATTTTGCCCAACATTTCCACAGTAAAGTGTGTGGTTGTAGGCACAGCGTTGAAGGCAGCTTTATTGAGGTCATGAACCCAGTGGAATAAATCACACAAGTCTTTACTGTAAAAATGGACAGCTGCTGAAAATTTCACTTTTTGACCAAATTAAATGCTTTCCAAATATGGGTTTATTCACAAAAACGAGTCTCCTCAGCGCGCTCTCTGTTCGAGGAGAAAAGGTGACTCCGAAAGGCTGTTCCGCTATTACCGTAAGTAGTCATTAAAACGCGCACTGTTTTTCTCTCGATGCGGGCCGTTTTACTTCGGAGGTGAAAGATGCGCCCCACTTTACCGCGGTCACGGAGATCCACTCTGCCGTTCGAGTACATACAGAAAACAATAGAGCTATTGCCCCGCGGTTACGCGCACCCCCGCGGACATTTCGGATTACACAAAAAAACGCATTTTGAACAGATTATTTGATATCTGGCGTGGACGTAATGGGGGACACTATGGTGCATTGTGTCCATTATCCCCCTTCCCGCTGTATACATACGCTTAGGTCAAAGAAGAAGTCCGCAGATTACGCTAAAACAATCACACAGCATGAGATCTCTGCAATCAAGCAATCGTGGAATATGTTTGTTGGACGAAACAGTGTTTTGGACGTAACAAAAGAGGACACAAATATAAAATCTTACCTGTCTCTGTCATGCAGCTGTTGGCACCCGCTGGACTGACGTCATGTGGCGCGCCGGTGTCATACACTACCGTAAGTGCTAATACTTTTTTCCTGGTTGTTGTTTGGACGTAACAGTGAAAAATGACACGAAAAAGTTCAGAAATGTCCGCGTCTGTTTCTGCCAAATATTCATAGCACCCACCCTTGTTTTTTTTTAGCTTGTTTGTCTAGTGAATAGTGCAACTACTTAAACACCATTTCATTCATGCCTGTTCTATTAATAGCACTACAGACAGCCGTTTTGGACGTAACACTCAGTGGACACGAAGTGTTACGTCCAAAACGACAACTTTATCTGCAGTTATTTAATTAATTTGCATTATGTATAATCTATGATTAGAGATTGATTATAGTTATATCCACAACCATTAGCCATTTAATAGTCTTCCCTGTCCTTTTCATTCTTCCATTCACAAAGCCTCCAACATGACATGTCCTAAATGTAACTATTATGTCCACAAATTTCAATACAAGACATGCATTTTCTTGAAGTGGTTTTGAGTTGTCCATCTGAGATTATACTATGTATATCTATAAGCTACGTAGTATTAAATAATTGTTAGGTACAAACCTTTTTGGTTCATACATTTATTTTATTGCTGCTTAAAGTAAGATTGACGCATTAAACCGTTTAGTGTGGAGTGACCCATATACATTTGTTTGACATTACTGTTGGTCTGAGTGCAAATGTTAGAGGTAAATATAAAAAGGTGAACACCAGGGACTCCCAGGATTCTGAAACCAGTCGATTTTTTTTTGAGTTTTTCACCAGATGAACTAAAAGGAATTCACTTTTACTTGATGGTACAACTGGTGAATATAACCATAAACATATAAAGACAAAAACAGTCCCTTTCTCTGGTCCTGTGTAACCAGTACCAGGTCCTTTTTAGTCCCTTTTGGTCCTGGTTCTATCCAGGCCGAGCTGGTACTAAAGTGTTCTAACCATAGACTGTATATATTAACGGACAGAGTCACGCCTATCTCCGCCGTTCATAGGAGTTGGCCATGAAAAGTGCTTTCATGGAGCAACCCAAGATGGCCGCGAGTGGTCCCGCCCACAAGAAAATTGTGAAAAAACGCATCTGCGCATGCGTCAGCCGGAGCAGCTCCATTCATTTGAACGAGAGACTTCAAAAATTCACAGAAAGTAAACTAGAGTGGACCAAAACACCCCCCTCAGCATTGACACACATGTGGAACGGAGCTTTGGGCCAAGAGCCAACTTTTGGTCCATCCTGTAAAGACGTTTTTGAGAGGTCTGCCAATGCTATATGTTAGCATTGGCTAATTGTTCTTCTGGGTCCACCCCCATCGGCCCGGGGTGGTACTGCAAGTTGTCAGCGCACGTCATTTTGGCCACTTTTGAGCTGGGAACCGCCCCCACTGGTTCTAACTGACAGTGATTGTCCAGAGTGCTGCTGGGAGCCATGGTAGAACAGAGTAGAGTAGAGTACTTGTTTACAACTGGTCATAACTACATTTCGGAGGAGAAAGTGTGGATCTTTTTTCCCAACAATTTTATTGATTTGATCAAATACAATTTGAAACCTTCATTTACGACCCAAGAGTCTTACATGAATAATCACAGTGAGAACAAGGACGTGGGCGGAGATAGGGGGTAGGTGAAAACAGATTTTCCCAAGACTCAAATGCAGAACAAGTTTAACACCAGACAAAATGACAAGTGAATAATTAAGTTTGGGAAATATCCCTTGATTTTCTCGTAGGAGAGGTGTGGTTTGACCATAGCTGTCTTTGTTTTCCGTTACCATGGGAACCGGGGTCTGGATCAAGAAGGCCGCCGCAAAAGCTCGCTCTCTGCTCTCGTTCTGTGCTCTCTGCTCTCTGCTCTTGCCCTCTGCTCTCGCCCTCTGCTCTCTGCTCTTGCCCTCTGCTCTCTGCTCTTGCCCTCTGCTCTCGCTCTCTGCTCTCGCCCTCTGCTCTCGCTCTCTGCTCTCTGCTCTCTGCTCTCTGCTCTCGCCCTCTGCTCTCTGCTCTCGCTCTCTGCTCTCTGCTCTCGGCTCTCGATATATGACATGAGCCCTGCAAATATTAAATGTTGACATCCTCAGAGCTTCTTGTGCCGTTTCGTTTTCTGCGGCTTGCATTCAAAGAAGTTTTAGTTTTTAAAAAGGAAACTAGTGCAAATAAACAGGTGTGCACAAACACCTGACAAGTGAATTAATTAAGCTAGCAGGTTAGCATTGGCCCTCTCTATACAGTCTATGGTTCACACCAACGCAAAAAGAAAGAAGTAATTATTACACGTTGCATATGGGCAAAACAAATCACCAGTGCCCCCCACTGTGGATGAAGCCCACATCACTTCTAAGGTTTAGAATGTGCGAGTGAAGAGCCCCAGAAGACAAAGAGGCACGCTCAGAGACAGCATCGGCCCAGCTGAAACAAACACACAGCCATCATCTTTGTCTTCACACCCAGTCTTGTTCGGGTTGTTACAGAAGTCTGTGTCGCAGCAGGATAGTTCTTCGTAGTAGCCAAAGTCCTGTTGCAGCATGGTGGGGTTGTTGCAGAGATTCTCAGAGACACATCCGTAAATCCGTGGTGAGGAGTTTTCTGAAAATAAATAAAGTTCCAGATGAGTTGTTTATGTACTGTATATGGTTCTGTTCTATGTACAGGATGTGTGGTTCTAACCTCGAGTCATTGCGCAGACTTCTAGTTTGTTACAGGTTACAGTGTCAACATTGCATTCATGCGAGTAGAGGTCACAGGTGTAGCACTGCAGAGAGCCAGCCGGGATCATTACTGAAAGAAGAGAAACAGACAGATTTACCGAAGTGTCTGGGAAGGGACGAGTTTGTTATTTTACTAGTGTGGAACTATGTTGTAGCATGATTAAAAGCTTTTTAAACAAAGATTACGAGTGTCACATGGCAAAATTAAATGGACCCAAGTTAAAGCAAATACAAAAGCTAAATCCAGGGGCAAAGATAAAAAACTAAAAGTAAATGACGGAAATGGGAGTGAAGCAGACACAGGGTTTGTTTACAGAAGGACTAAAAACACACAGGTGATACACATGAGGGCGGGTAGTACACAACAGGAAGTAGAACCAAAGGAAGAGATAGGGGTTGATACATTACAGAATAAACCTAAACCATGAGAATATGGTCTGAATGGATTACTCTTTCTTACTTTTCATTTTTTCAAGTGTGAATTATAAACAACAAAATAAAGTAAATAAACAGACTCACTGGTTTGGTTTGCAACATTGCAGTTGTCTGTGTCGCAGCACGTGGTGTTACGGATATAAGAATTATTACCCACTTGAAACGACACAACCTGATTTTCTACAGTTGCTGGACAGATGTTGGACTGAACACAGCCCTTCTGGATATATGTGGGGCCTGAAAGTACAAAAGGACGAGTTTCATTTTTACTGGCGCACACAGTATTGTGTATACATTTATTCCATTGACCCTAATCTTGGCCAAAGTGATACGAGGCAAAGATTCCCTCTCTCTGGTCTATATTTGGTCTCTCTCTCTCTGGTCTCTCTCTCTCTCTCTCTGGTCTCTCCTCTCTGGTCTCTCCCTCTCTGGTCGCTCTCTCTCTCTGGTCTCTCTCTCTGGTGTCTCTCTCTCTGGTCTCTCTCTCTCTCTCTGGTCTCTCTCTCTGGTGTCTCTCTCTCTCTGGTCCCTCTCTCTGGTCCCTGTCTCTGGTCTCTCTCTCTCTGGTCTCTCTCTCTGGTGTCTCTCTCTCTGGTCTCTCTCTCTGGTCTTTCTCTCTCTGGTCCCTGTCCCTGGACAAGTGCCCAAAAATAACAATTGTAAACCGCTTTGTGACTCTGGTCTGTGAAAGGCGGTATATAAATAAAGCTTACTTACTTACTTACTTACTTACTCTGGTCTCTCTCTCTGGTGTCTCTGGTCTCTCTCTGGTGTCTCTCTCTCTGGTCTCTCTCTCTCTCTGGTCCCTGTCTCTGGTCTCTCTCTGGTGTCTCTCTCTCTGGTGTCTCTCTCTCTGGTCTCTCTCTCTGGTGTCTCTCTCTGGTCTCTCTCTCTGGTCTCTCTCTCTGGTGTCTCTCTCTGGTCTCTCTCTCTGGTGTCTCTGGTCTCTCTCTCTGGTCTCTCTCTGGTCTCTCTCTCTCTGGTCTCTCTCTCTGGTGTCTCTCTCTCTGGTCTCTCTCTCTGGTCCCTCTGGTCTTCCCGTAGCCCACAGTGTATGCATGTCTTTTTACTGCTGCAGCAGCACTCAGACTTAAAACCAACAGGTTAAATATCTCTGAGATCACACTTCAGCTGTCATGAGTTGAGGTGGTTAGAAAAGTGTCTAAAGTGTGAGGAGCTTTTACAGCTGTTAAGGATTCGAAGTCCAAACTCTCAAAAAGACGTCATAACCACTGAGAAACTTGAAGCGATGTCCCAGTTTTACATAAATTATTATTTTATTACTGGTGAAGCCTCTTTCTGCCCATCGTGTATCTCTACAGTCGAGTGACTATGATCTGATTCCTCAGGTGTGGAGAGAACAGCAGTTACCTGATCCGTAGGACTCTGTGCGAGAGAAACAGAAGGGTGCGTCCTCGGTGCAGAAGACTGAACGCTCAGATGAACACTGGTAATCAGAACAGACCATGCACTTATGACCCGGCAGCTCTGTGAGAGAGAAGAACTGGTTAATCCACAAGACACAAAAAAGAGCAAATATCTTAATCCACAGGACTATTATCATGTTGTGTTTAACATACAAAAAGAAGAAATAGGAGATCTTGGCTTAGTATCAGCTGATGAAATACTTCTGACTGGATTCGGGCTCTTCTGAGCCTTAAAGGCTCCATACACTTTTTGACTTTTCTCTGGTAACATGATTACAGCTATTTGCCCAGAGTAGTTTTTTCATTGATTCCCTCAAGCTTTAGTTAGAGAGGAATCTTTCTTTCATTCTAGAGAGCCACAGAAACTGTTTCAAATTGTGACGTGGCACAATCCGTGACGTCAAAAGCACCCCTCCAAGAGGTGATTGACAGCGGGGAGAAACTAAACCAGCGAATCAGCGCCATCTATGGACAGCTGCAGCCTCTCTCCGAGTCCAGCGTCTGCTCCATAGACAGTAAATACTTCTTTGCTTTTCTGTGTTAGCTTCATGTCAACTTGGAGAAAATGTGTTGTTAGTGTAAATATCTGACGACAGTAGATTGAGAATGAGGATCAACTTTGTTCACGGGGATCGGCCTCGAAAACACGAGTCTGAAATCTGCGACGAAACTTACAGATGTTTCTTTGCAAGTGACGATGACACCACCAAAGACTGTTCCAGAAATACAGTTACCTTGAAACGGGACCTACTCAAAAGCTGATCTGGAAACCTGGTGTTATTCCCAACATCAGCTTCACCTCGAAGCACTGGGGATTCATTACACTCCAAAACAAGCTGTGAAAAGTTTAAGAAAACTGAAGCAGGACTATAAAATGACTCAAAGACCACAACTGCCGGAGCGGTTACGACCGTAAAATATACAAATAGGTTTCCTGTAATAAGTTTTGCTTATGCAGCAATCGAAACTCATGACGTCGCCGTGTGGTCCTACTGCAGAGACACGGACACTGAGAGGACCAAGGGAGAGGAAGGTTCCTGTAAAATTTCCACCCGCTCTTTTTACCAGGAACTGCTGCGGTGGAAATGCGGCTATTGGCAATCTGTCACATAGAGCCCTATGTCCTCGATCCAATATCAGACCCTAATTATATAGTTCACAGTCACATACGGCAAGTTTGTTGCATTGTACTCACAGAGGCTCCTGTTAGCGTCTTTTACAGTGGGGCAAAAAAGTATTTAAAAGCTCTAAACAAGATGGCGCCAGTGCATGCGGCCTGTCATCTGTCCCTGCGTAATGTGCTTGTATTTTTGCTGTTTTTATCAATTGTCACAGTAAATGTCACATCCCTGCTGACGTATGATCGCCAAACACTTTTGGATTTCCAACCATGTGTTGACAACTTCCTTACATTTGATCATTACGATCACAACGCATTTTCCCCACCTTTCCTTTCTGAAATACCGGCTTACCTTTGTCGTGCGCCAGATCTACCCAGGCACAGGCGCCGCAGGCGCCGTGGCAAACGCGCAGGGAGACTGGTGAAACTGAAGGCCCTGGTGGCACGTTCCTCTGTGACATCCCAGGAGATCCAACAGGAATATTGTCGCTTCATCCCCTGGCGCACCCTGGATGCAACACGGCCCTGTCTGGTTCCTGTGGTTGGCTTCGATGGCAGTGTTCCTGAGAGCTGTGTTCCGGCTTCTCTTCCCCGCCCCCTCTGTGTGTGTCTGCCCAATCTCCGTCTGCCACGCCGGGCCCGGACTACGCCCACGGCAAATGCACCCGCTCCTGTTCCAGCAATTTTTGCTCTGGTGAACGCTAGATCGCTGGCGAATAAAACTTTCATCATGAGGGACTTTTTTGAATCAAGAGGATTGGATTTAATGTGCGTGACTGAAACTTGGGCAACTGTGGGTGAGTCGAGCGCTTTCTGTGAACTGCTGCCACCTGACTGTTTGTTTCTTAACTCCCCGAGGATATCAGGACGGGGTGGAGGTCTAGCTACAGTTTTTAAAAGTAGCATTATGTGCAAACATCTTGTTCCTTCTGTGTCATTTCCCAGCTTTGAGATGCTTCTGTTTGAACTTAGCTCTGCATCACCAATGCTGTGAGCAGTGATATATAGACCTCCGAAATACAACAAGAACTTCCTTAATGACTTTTCGCAGTTACTTGTGCTGATAGTGTATTACAGCTACACCACCAGGGGGCACTCTAAGGTTAAGGGGGAGTCGAAGAAGACTCAGACACAGGTTATACCTGCTGAAGCTTAATAAAGAAGCTAACAAACCCAGATCCATTTTTATTGTTTTATCAAAACATTACATTACTGTCTGAATATGTGCCTGTGTATGACCGTATCCTTCTTGTTGGGGACTTTAACATTCATGTGTGCTGCCGTGAAAAGCCACTGGCAAGAGACTTCTTGAGTTTGATTGAATGTTTTGATTTTGTACAGTGTGTAAGTGGCTCCACACATGAGCGCGGACACACGCTTGATCTCGTTCTAGCCCATGGGCTCTCTCCATCTAATGTCAGAGTGTCAGATCCGTTCTTTTCTGACCCCTTACCTGTGTTGTTTGAGATTCCCCTCTCCTGCGGAATAACTATGTCCATGGTACCAGGAGTGGTCATATGAAGACGGACATTATGGAAAGTGTGAAGCCGCCAGATGCCGTCAATTGGACTGGAAATGTTGACTGTGAGTGGCGTACTTTTAAACAGCGATTCCAGCTGTATTTGAAAGCTATCGGGCTAGATAGCAAGCCAGACGCGCGGAAGATAGCACTGCTTCTCACCGTGGCTGGGCCACAAGCAGTAGAAGTCTACAACACGTTTATTTTTGCCGATGGTGATAGAGTAGGGATGTAAATCGGCGACCGGTTAACCGGTGGTTGACCGTCACAGCGTTAACCGGTCAAAGCTGTCGGTTAAAAAAGAGAAAAAGGGGAGAGGGGAGGTCTCTTAATAACGCTATTTTAAGCCCTATTTGCACGGTGTGACGAGCGGGTCCCTATCTAGCTGTGTGCGCCCATGTATTATAAACTCCGGGACGACTCTCACGCCGCACGAGCCACACATGCACACACGCACGCGCGTGCGCACACACACACACACACACACACACTTTCCCCCTCTCCATACGTAACATCCACACGCATCATCTCTCGCCTCTGTTACCGTCAAAGTTGCACACTGGCGCGGGTCAGAACTACATTGGAGCTTACATTTACATACACACACATATACATACACACACACACATACACACACACATACCGGTCTGTCGCGCTCCTCTGTGTCACGGAGCCCAAAGGATTCGCGCAAATACGCGGCTCCAGTCAAACCACATGGAACATGTTTGTGTTTATGGTCCTCGGGATCAGCTCCACACACATCACTTGTATTTAAACTTTTGTGAAGACCTGTGAGACGCGGCTCGTCACTCGCTGCTCTGACCATGTGAACGAGACATCGTTTGCTGCTAGAAAGTTTTGGTATTAACCCGCAGCACAGAAGAATGGGAAGATTAAAAAAGTAGTTCTCTGTGCGCAAAGATGCCGGAGCTGTTGTGGGTTTTGGCGCCGCTGTCTCGGCTCTGATCCAGTAGAACGCAGAGCTGCACTTATGAGAAGTACGCGGCTCGAAATGGCTGTTATTTCAAAGAACGTGGACTATTTTAAACTACGCGGTTAACCGGTTTCAACCGGTTAATGAGGCTCGGTGGTCGGTCATGAAAATTCATAGTTTTTTACATCCCTATGATAGAGACAAGTTTGATTTGGTTGTTGCAAAGTTTGATGAACACTGTTCTCCCAAAAAGAATGAAACATTTGAAAGGTACGTTTTTCGTTCCCGCATACAGCAACCTGCGGAAAGCTTTGACACGTTTTTGACGGACTTAAAGCTAAAGGCTAAAACATGCAACTTTGGGCTCCTTCAAGAATCAAATAGTTTTTGGAATAAAGGATACAAAGATAAGAGAGCGTCTGTTGAGAGAAACTGAGTTAACATTGGAGGGTGCTGTGAAAATCTGTCATGCTAGTGAACTTGCCTTACAACACGCTAAAACCTTTAGTGGAGTGGCGAGGGACGCTGATGCAGACGGGACACCAGTTGCTGAAGTATCACGACAAGGCTACAAATACAAAATGAGCAACAAAGGAGCAAAAGAAACGGAAATGTAAAACTGTAAAAGATGTGGCACAAAACATGCGAGGCAACAATGTCCAGCATATGGTAAAATATCCAACAAGTGCAAAGGAAAAAATCATTTTGCAAATCTATGCGTTTCGAAAAGTCAAAAAGACAGAGGGAACACTGTGGATGAAACTGCTCTTAGTGATACATTTTTTGTGGGCATGGTGATGCAGCAAGAGTTACACACAGTTCAAATGCCTCTCAAATCAGAAGAGCAGGACAAGTGGATAGAAACTTTGCCAGTAAATGGAGCCCTGGTCACATTCAAACTGGACACAGGAGCTAAGGCAAACCTTGTGAACGAACTGGATCTGAAAGCAATGAAACTAAAGCCAAAGATCAATCAAAACAACAACTCACTCCAGGCCTACAATGGTCAACCAATCGACACCAAAGGAAAATGCAGACTCAAGAATGCATTATTATTATTATTATTACTATTAATGTATTTAATAATTGAACTCTGTTCAAGTAACTGCAAAAGCAGTGGATGAACTAAAGCTAAACTTTCCAGATAAAAATGGATTCAACATAAATGTGCAATAATGCAACTATAAAGAGCTGCTCAATGTTCACATTAAACATTCAACACTGTATTAGACCGTATACATTTACTGAATATAAATGTACTTATATTAACTGTGTTTGAATAAAAAAACATGCTGCATGAAAATGTAAATAAATAATAGCACCGTAGCTTTAACTGGATTTCAGATATGTATTTGGCGACGGCATGGACCTGGGTTCCAAATGGTCTATGGGGCTGCGAGCCCATGATGAACTCCAACACTTTGGGGTTGTTGCTGAAAAGCTTTTTGTGACGCTGCGTCAGTGTCATCTGTGTCTCGTTGTTTTCACGTAATCTCCTTTCGATGCAGAAACTCCCCGTGCTGTTTCTCGTGGTGCTTAGTCGTGTTGTATTTCGCTGGTTTACCGCCGCGTGAACAACGCTCTTTCCTGCTCCACGCTGTGTTGTTGTAGAGCGCCACGAGGAAGAGACGTGTCAGATCTGATACATTACTTTTAATTCATTCATTTTATACGTATATGTACATTATGCACAATGTATTTTAAGACATTGTGCGGTACCTGGTATGTATTAAAAATATATATAATTTTTTTTTAAAAAGAAGAAAATGGATCGGCAGCACGGCGCCTCTCTCTACGCAGATATCCGATCCAGTATTTTTTCTGGTATTGGCACCGATATCGATACCAGTATCGGATCGGTGCATCCCTAAATATTACAGTCTCTGGTTTATTGTGGTACCTGAAGGACACCAGTCTCTGCTAGGTGATCAAGCACGTGAAAAACTAGGCCTTGTTAGAAGAGTGTACAGCATTAACACGACTGAGCATAACACGGTGAAAACGATTGTCGACCAGTACCCAGATATATTCCAAGGGTTTGGTGTGTTGCCTTTCACCTACAAAATACAATTGAAAGATGGTGCTCAGCCTGTAGTGCATGCTCCTCGACGGGTTCCTGCAGCATTAAAAGAAAAGCTCAAGGAGGAACTAGACCGAATGGAGTCACTGCAGGTAATACGGAAGGTGGAGGAGCCCACAGAATGGGTTAACTCCATGGTGTGCATCAATAAACCAAATGGTGCTCTGCGAGTGTGCATGGATCCAAAGGATTCGAATGAAAATATAAAGAGAGAGCACTACCAGATCCCAACTAGAGAGGAAATAACGAGTGAAATGGCAGGTGCAACTTATTTCACTAAACTGGACGCGTCGCAAGGATTTTGGCAGATAAAGCTACATGAGGAAAGCACAAAGTACTGCACGTTCAACACACCATATGGACGATACTGCTTTTTGAGGATGCTTTTTGGAATTTCTTCAGCCCCTGAGGTTTTTCATCGATCAATGGAGCATATGATTGAGGGCATTGAAGGAGCACGTGTGTATGTCGACGACGTCGTACTGTGGGGAGCCACAGTTGAAGAGCATAATGAGAGACTTGCCAAAGTACTGCAAAGAGTCAAAGAGTCTGGGCTCAAGCTGAATCGATAAAAGTGTCAGTTTGGTGTTACAGAAATCACCTTTCTTGGTGACAAGCTGTCAAAAGCTGGTATTGAGCCAGACAAGAACAAGATTCAGGCCATACTAGGTATGAGGACAAGAAAGGAGTTTTGAGGGCGCTTGGGATGCTAAACTTCCTCAGAAAATTCATACCGAACTTGTCGTCAAAAACAGTACACCTAAGACAACTTCTACATGAAGGAATTGAGGTTAAATGGAGTGACAAGCTGGAAAAGAAATGGCTGCAATTACAAAAAACTCTAACCTCAGAGCCAGTACTTGCATATTTTGATGCGAGGAGAAAGACCAAGATATCTACAGATTCATCAAAGGAAGGAATTGGAGCTGTGCTATTACAAGCATACGGAGACAACTGGAGGCCAGTGGCCTACGCCTCAAGAGCAATGACTGCAGCAGAATGCCGGTATGCACAAATTGAAAAGGAGACTTTGGGACTAGTTTATGGCTTTGAAAAGTTCCACAGCTATGTTTATGGCTTGCCAACATTTGTGGCAGAGACAGATCACAAGCCGCTGATAGCCATCATAAAGAAAAACCTCTGGGAAATGTCTCCACACATCCAACGGCTCATGATGAAGTTACAACAATATGACTTCAACCTGATCTACACGCCAGGTAAACTTATTGTGATAGCAGATGCTCTGTCTAGGGCCACAAAGCAAAACAAAGGCCCAAGTACAACAGAGACTGATGTCAATCTACATGTTGATCTGGTAGCTGAATCACTCCCTGTGTCAGACACAAAATCCAAACTGATAGCAGCTGAGACACAGAAAGACACTAATCTGCAAAAAATAACACTGTTAAATGGGAAATGGCCAAGAGGTGAATGCCAACCATATTACAACATAAGAGCAGAGTTAAGTGTAATCAATGGACTTTTATTGAGAAGAGACCGGATAGTGATTCCACATTCACTGAGACAGGACATGCTCAAAAGACTGCATGAAGGGCATCTAGGCATAGAGAAATGCAAACGCAGAGCTAGAACAGCAGTTCATTGGCCAGGAATAAATGCAGATATAGAGAAAATGGTGTCAACTTGTGACACTTGCATTAAGCATCAGGCTAAACAACCAAAAGAACCTATGATAATTACAGACATTCCTGATGAGCCTTGGCAAAAGGTAGGGACAGATATTTTCCATCTGGATGGTAAAAATTACTTATTAGTAATCGATTATCTATCAAACTATCCAGAGATGGCATTATTGTCAAACATGTCTGCCACATGTGTTATTACACACATGAAATCCATCTTTGCGCGACATGGTATAGCTCAAGTGGTGTATAGCAGGGGTGGCCAACCAGTCAGAGACTAAGAGCCAATTTTTTTTACTGTGTTACAGCAAAGAGCCACATCATACAAATGTGCACTACATAAACATCACCCCAACCCTTACACACGCACGCACGCACACGAGCAGACACGCGCACACACATGCAACCTGTCTGAGCAGAGAGAGGTGTGCTCTGCTCAGACAGATGTATTGTAAATGTCATCAACATGATAATGACAGAAATTGACTCGTACAGTACTAAAGGGCTGGACTCGACTCTCCCTGGTTTGCGGGCGCTTCCACCGCTCGCTTCAACCGCTCCCCGGTACTTTTTATTAATGGTTTGTCCCTGGTTCTAACTGGGAGAGTCGATACCAGAACAATTTCACGTCAGCGAACATCAATTATGATTCCAAAATGAATGCTTTCAATCTCTAACAAAGAAAAAAAAATCAAGTTTCAACCCAGTGTTCAGCAGAAACACAACTGTCTTTATCGAACCATGATTCACTCTGACTGCGTTTAGTAAAAGATATAGATGTGACACATAACACCAACACCACTTTAGCTGATTTAGAACCACAGACACATGTTCAGTATAAGACCAGATACTTTTGCATTTGATTGAAGACAGACACTCACCAGGCAGAGTTGGCTTATCTCCTGGTGTAACGCTAGCTGGTGTTAGCTGCTTTTAGCATGTTAGCCGGTGTTAGCCGATGTCCGTAAATGTAATCCATTTGGTCAAACCACCTCCAGACTTTTCGGGTCTGCCTCTACTTCTGCTGCTGCGATCTTTCATTTCACGGTTGTCACTTTTAAGCTTTTTAACTTTTCTCTGCATTGTGATGTTCGTGGGAATCATTCTGCTCCGTCCTTAGCGCTAGCTCCACAAACACCTTTCTGGTTTCTGGTGGAACCATCGAGCTCACGCTGTTGTCCTCTCCTCAAACTGAGGAAGGTGTTGCCCTCATCCAGCGACCAAGGAATTGTTTTCCATACGGACGTCATGGGTCGAGGCAATGTGTTGTTTGTTATGATATTTGCAACAGCTGAGGCAGCAGCTGCAGAGTGATTGACAGCGCATCTGACCAATCAGAATTGACGTTCGCCGACGTCAGATTGTTTTGGTGGCCTGGCTAGTGGAGTGAAGTCGGCCTTTACTATGGGTCAGAACTACATAGAGAATGAATGGCAGCGCCACCACTGAGGCGTTTTTGACGCTTGTCGTGTGAAAGCCCGAGAGCCTCACGGAATCAGCCAAAGAGCCGCATGCGGCTCACGAGCCGCGGGTTGGCCACCCCTGGTGTATAGTGACAACGGCCCTTGCTATAGTTGTAGAGAATTCCAATTATTTGCTCAAGAATATGACTTTAGACATGTGACGTCTAGCCCGTTATTTCCTCAGTCAAATGGGAAAGCAGAGAAGGGTGTACACATTGTCAAACAGTTACTTAAGAAAGCGCAGGACAGCAAGGCAGATCCTTATTTGGCACTATTGAGTTACAGAGCTTCTCCATTAGAGCATGGCAAATCTCCTGCAGAAATCCTAATGGGAAGACAACTGCGAACCACTTTTCCATACACATCTGCACGGAAGCACAAACGGGTGAATGACTAAATGCGAAAGTTGCAAAAAAGACAAAAGACAAATTATGACAAATCTTCAGTCAGTCTAAAACCACTCACTCCCAAAGACACAGTCAGAGTGGAGGACGCTAACATCTGGACAAGAAAAGCAACTGTGCTTGAGGAAGTGAGCCCCAGGTCTTACAATGTGCTCACTGATGATGGACTGCTTCTAAGGAGAAACCGAAGGAGTTTACTGAAAACAACCGATGGACAGTGTGAGAGTAACAGCTCAACATCATTGGAGCCAAACTCACCTGTGAAGGACAGTGTCGAGCCACGTGACCAATCACCCGAGCTCAGAAGATCAGCACGCACTGTTAAACCACCTGAGAGACTGAATTTGTGAAGTGTTTTTTGTGCTAAAAGAAGACATAACTTTTATGTTGAGCATGTCACGTTTTTGATTTATGTTGTAGCACATGTTCTTTGGAAAATATGTGAGTTTGTGGGTTAATAAGGCTATATGTTTAGTACTTTTGTTTGTGTTATCTAAAGAAAGGGGGATGTGCTGATAGTGTATTACAGCTACACCACCAGGGGGCACTCTAAGGTTAAGGGGGAGTCGAAGAAGACTCAGACACAGGTTATACCTGCTGAAGCTTAATAAAGAAGCTAATGAACCCAGATCCATTTTTATTGTTTTATCAAAACATTACATTACTGTCTGAATATGTGCCTGTGTATGACCGTATCCTTCTTGTTGGGGACTTTAACATTCATGTGTGCTGCCCTGAAAAGCCACTGGCAAGAGACTTCTTGAGTTTGATTGAATGTTTTGATTTTGTACAGTGTGTAAGTGGCTCCACACATGAGCGCGGACACACGCTTGATCTCGTCCTAGCCCATGGGCTCTCTCCATCTAATGTCAGAGTGTCAGATGCGTTCTTTTCTGACCCCTTACCTGTGTTGTTTGAGATTCCCCTCTCCTGCGGAATAACTAAAAAGTATGTTCCCGTGCGTGTTGGTCGTTCGATTAACCCTACAACTAGCGCACATTTTTGTGAGCTCTTTTATTCATGATGACACGGCTACAGAAGAATCACTTTAATAATGCATGCAAAGCCGCGCTGGACATTGTTGCTCCAATTAAAAATAAGCCCTCTAGACGTAAATCTGAGCCTTGGCTGAATGAAGTGACGCGCGCTGCCCGACGCTAGAGCAGAAAATCTGAGAGACAGTGGATGAAAGACAAACTTGAAGTATCTTTTCAGATAATGCAAACTAGTTTGCGCTCTTACCAAAACACTGTTAGAGCAGCTAAAACAAGTCATTTTTCTGATATTATTGTTTCTAATGCTCACAATCCAAGAGTTCTTTTTGAAACTGTTTAAAAAGCTCTTGATTCCCCACAACAGCCCTGTCCTGAAAACGCTCCAAAATTGTGTGAGAATTTTTAAGTATTTTCCTAATTATGATCCTGGCACTCCTACAACTTGCTCTGTTGTTTTTGACCAATTTGAACCAGTTGCTTTGCCATTACTAGTAAAAGTAATGGATCAAATTAAACTTACAGGCTCTCCTAATGATGTGATCCCCCCTTGTCTTTTTAAAGAACTGTTTCCTCTATTGGAACCTCATGTTCTATCCATTCTTAATGGAAGTCTGGCCAGTGGAGTTGTTCCCTCTTGCTTTAAACATGCGATAGTGCAGCCCTTGCTAAAGAAGTCAAACTTAGGTCGATAGTTGCTTAGCTCATGAATATCTATTTCTAAGCTCCCTTTGATGTCAAAAATGCTTGAGAAAATTGTGTCTATGCAACTCACAGATTTTTTAAACAGTAATGGTATTTTGGAGACCTTTCAGTCAGGTTTTAAAGCCGGCCACAGCACAGAGACGGCCCTTTTAAAGGGTTTTAATGATATTTTTCTGGCTACAGACGCTGGGCACGCTGTTGCTCTTCTTCTGTTGGATCTGACTGCAGCATTTGATACGGTGGACCACCACATACTGTGGTCCCGCTTGGAGAATTATGTTGGGATCAGAGGTGTAGCCCTGTCCTGGTTCAGGTCTTATTTGACTGACAGGAGGTTTTCCGTCCGGGTTGGTGATGCTGAGTCCTCCATGGCTTCACTTACGTGCGGGGTTCCCCAAGGTTCAGTGCTTGGACCTCTACTGTTTTCATTGTATTTGTTGCCTCTTGGAGAGCTTCTTCGAAAACATAAAGTGTCGTTTGTTTTTATGCGGATGACTGTCAATTGTATGTGCCACTGACTCAGTCCAAGTCATTGATTGTATGTTTGGATGAGGTCAAAACATGGATGGCTTTTAATTTTTTGCATTTTAATAACAAGAAGACAGAGGTCATCATTTTCTCATCCACGGACACTGCAGCAGCTGTTCCTGCTGAGCTTGCCCCCCTGGCCCAGGCTGTGAGCCTAGTAGGGTAGTGAGTAAAAATTGACTCCTCTTTAAAACTGGATGCCCAAATCAGTGTTGTTGTGAAGACCAGCTTTTTTCAACTGAGGCGACTTGCAAAAGTCAAATCGTTTTTATCTCGTCATAACTTTGAAATTTTAATCCATGCTTTTATTACGAACCACTAGCCCCCACTTTTGTGAAAAATCTCCAGGTCCGTTAGCATAGACTGCTGAGTTAGCACAACAAGTCGAGGAGCTAACCTGAAGCTTGTGTCTTCGTCACCGGTTTCTGCTTACACAGAGAGACAGCCATCCAAAAGAAAGTCCCGTTCCTCCGCTCTTCCCGGTTCTATCGTTCTATGGTCACGCCATCCACGTGCAAATCCATATCCATGTATTATCCATATTGGAAGACGCTAGCTCCGTCAACAACAGTGGGTGTGTGTGGGGGGCGATAGCTTGGGGGCGATAGGGTGTGGGGAGGGGAGCAGAAAGAGAGAGGCCAGCGAGTTTGCGGCTTCAAAATCCCAAAGTCAGTAAGTGCAGCTTTAACTTATGGACTATGTGTGTCCTTAAATGTAAACTATGTGTGTGTGTGTGTGTGTTAGTGATGCGCGGGTCGGCCCGAAACCCGCGGTAAACCCTCGGGTCCCGCGGGCGGGTTGGATGCCTCTAAAATATGAGTCATGTTGGGTGCGGGTGGGCCGGGTCAAAAAGCTCCTGATCCACCTATATATAATATATATATACAGTACATTATATATATATAATATATATATACAGTACATTATATATATATAATATATATATATATGTATATATGTATGTGTGTGAGCCACGGTGTGGGAGTCTTGAGTAGATTTGCAATCGCGCAGGGAGGCTGTTAAACGAAAAATGCATCGTGACAAACACCCGTAATGGTGCTTTCAGACCGCAAACGCTCAAACGCTGAAGCCCCGCTCACCAGACGCGCATTCTATAGTTTTCAGACGCAGGGGTCTTCAGACCAGAACGTCCTGACCAACGCCGGAAGTGAAGAGTTATGCTAGCGGCTTTTCGTGTAAAGATCTTCTCCAATAATACAGCTCCAAGGACTTTATATATCAGTAGTATGTGTCCACGGAGGTGCGCAATAAGTTCATTTTATTATTAAACGATACTTCCGCATCGGCCAACACGCTCGAAGCAGTTGCATAAAGTCACGGGAGCATGACAATGCATATATTCACAAGCACACAGTCCCCCATTGTCAACCCTGGTGTAGCCCCTGTTTTGGCTGTTTACAGCATGTTCAGTCTGCTGAAGTGGTCTCGCTCAGACCACTAATGTCCCCGTGACCACTTTGCAGCTCTCTGATTGTTTGCTGCACGGACATCCCGAGGAAAGGTTGAGAAAAGTGTATCTCCTGTGGGCTTGTATTTTTCGCTCCTGCTCCTCCCCTTCGACTTTCCCGCGCAGTCCGTGCGTCTCTGCAGAACAGTCCGTGCGTCTCTGCTGAACAGTCCGTGCGTCTCTGCTGAACAGTCCGTGCGTCTCTGCTGAACAGTCCGTGCGTCTCTACAGAACAGTCCGTGCGTCTCTGCTGAACAGTCCGTGCGTCTCTGCTGAACAGTCCGTGCGTCTCTCAGTGCGTCTCTACAGAACAGTCCGTGCGTCTCTACTGAACTGAACAGTCCTTGCGTCTCTACTGAACAGTCCGTGCGTCTATACTGAACAGTCCGTGCGTAGAGCAGTCCGTGCGTAGAGCAGTCCGTGCATCTCTACTGAACTCTACTGAACAGTCCGTGCGTCTCTAATGAACTGAACAGTCCTTGCGTCTCTACTGAACAGTCCTTGCGTCTCTACTGAACAGTCCGTGCGTCTCTGCTGAACAGTCCGTGCGTCTCTACAGAACAGTCCGTGCGTCTCTGCAGAACAGTCCGTGCGTCTCTGCTGAACAGTCCGTGCGTCTCTGCTGAACAGTCCGTGCGTCTCTGCTGAACAGTCCGTGCGTCTCTACAGAACAGTCCGTGCGTCTCTGCTGAACAGTCCGTGCGTCTCTGCTGAACAGTCCGTGCGTCTCTCAGTGCGTCTCTACAGAACAGTCCGTGCGTCTCTACTGAACTGAACAGTCCTTGCGTCTCTACTGAACAGTCCGTGCGTCTCTACTGAACAGTCCGTGCGTAGAGCAGTCCGTGCGTAGAGCAGTCCGTGCATCTCTACTGAACTCTACTGAACAGTCCGTGCGTCTCTAATGAACTGAACAGTCCTTGCGTCTCTACTGAACAGTCCTTGCGTCTCTACTGAACAGTCCGTGCGTCTCTGCTGAACAGTCCGTGCGTCTCTACAGAACAGTCCGTGCGTCTCTGCAGAACAGTCCGTGCGTCTCTGCTGAACAGTCCGTGCGTCTCTGCTGAACAGTCCGTGCGTCTCTGCTGAACAGTCCGTGCGTCTCTACAGAACAGTCCGTGCGTCTCTGCTGAACAGTCCGTGCGTCTCTGCTGAACAGTCCGTGCGTCTCTCAGTGCGTCTCTACAGAACAGTCCGTGCGTCTCTACTGAACTGAACAGTCCTTGCGTCTCTACTGAACAGTCCGTGCGTCTCTACTGAACAGTCCGTGCGTAGAGCAGTCCGTGCGTAGAGCAGTCCGTGCATCTCTACTGAACTCTACTGAACAGTCCGTGCGTCTCTAATGAACTGAACAGTCCTTGCGTCTCTACTGAACAGTCCTTGCGTCTCTACTGAACAGTCCGTGCGTCTCTGCTGAACAGTCCGTGCGTCTCTACAGAACAGTCCGTGCGTCTCTGCAGAACAGTCCGTGCGTCTCTGCAGAACAGTCCGTGCGTCTCTGCAGAACAGTCCGTGCGTCTCTGCTGAACAGTCCGTGCGTCTCTCAGTGCGTCTCTACAGAACAGTCCGTGCGTCTCTACTGAACTGAACAGTCCTTGCGTCTCTACTGAACAGTCCGTGCGTCTGTACTGAACAGTCCGTGCGTCTCTACTGAACAGTCCGTGCGTAGAGCAGTCCGTGCGTAGAGCAGTCCGTGCGTCTCTATTGAACTCTACTGAACAGTCCGTGCGTCTCTAATGAACTGAACAGTCCTTGCGTCTCTACTGAACAGTCCTTGCGTCTCTACTGAACAGTCCATGCGTCTCTACTGAACAGTCTGTGCATCTCTACTGAACTGAACAGTCCTTGCGTCTCTACTGAACAGTCCGTCCGTCTCTACAGAGCAGTCCGTGCGTCTCTACAGAGCAGTCCGTGCGTCTCTACAGAGCAGTCCGTGCATCTCTACTGAACAGTCCGTGCGTCTCTACTGAACAGTCCGTGCGTCTCTACTGAACAGTCCTTTCGTGCTTCCCGAGATGTTCGTGCATTTTGACGCTCAAACGCGCATCACCATAGACTTTGCATTGAAAGCCGATGCAACGCATGATCCTGCCTGAAAGCACCAAAAGATTGCCACCTTCCTGACTCCCCGTTTTAAACGCCTCAAAATGCTCCAGCCCGATGAAAGACGTGTAATCCACACAGAGGCGCGTAGACTGATGACAGTGTGGGCATCACAGCAGAGGCCTAAAGCAGGTGCGTAAATACGCGGCCTACAGGTGTTACGTGGGCTTAGCCTATATTATTAATACGGTATGTGTAACGTCTCAAAATAGATTGAGTGAATATTTCCTTTTCCTCATTATTTAGTGGTTTGCGGAGGAGATGGAGAGCAGCAAGAGAAGTTTGGCAGGGGAGGAGCCGTGTGGAGTTATAAAATAAACAGTTTACAGCTTGCTAAAATATTTGAAAGCATC